TATGAATAGTGAAAAGAAAAAGCCTTGGAGGCTTCAACCATTATTCAGATTTTGGTGTGTTTTCAGACATGGTAATATTTCAAAAATAAGAATAGACTTTACTTTTCTGCTGTTCCTTTTAGTCACCTTTCAAATATCTTTCCTTGTCAGTACATAGAGTTCTTGATTTTGGTAGTTATGAAGTACTATGTATTTATCCTGTTAATGGTGATCTACGCTGTTCTAAATTTTCTCTAATACAAATAATATCACGGTTTTTTACACTTGTCTTTATGTACACATGCCAAAATCTTGGTCAGGCAGAATCCTAGCAGTAACATCACTGTATGTGGTACATAACCAAGACAAGTTTTAAGAGTCAGTGAAATGCTACACAGATATAATCATGAAGATTTCATTCTTTCCATGGTGCCTCAAATCAGTGTTTTTATTCTGCAAGAAAACGAGTCAAAAGTTGGACTCCCCTCACACATCCTTTTTGCCCTTTTAAAACCCACAGTGAAAAGAAGGTAGAAATGAGTCCACTGTCCCATTAGAGAGCCAGTCACACTCCCCTTTCCTGCACATGCATACACACACTTTGTGGCCGAGGGAAACTGTGATTTGCATCCTATCCTAAAACTTAATCAGGAACTGAGGCAGGGCCAAGACCTGAGCCTTGACTCTGTCTTAGTGTTTTGGTACCTTGCACTGTTACCAGAATTGAGTCTCTGGTAGTTCATGTGGATGTGTCTTAAAAAGTACCCATTTTCTTGCCATTAAGCAACTCTTTTTCTCTTCAAAGATGATATCTTCTCCTCCTCTGGTCTCCAGACTAAGACAACCAAACCAAAAAATCAATCTGCACAGACTACGCCTGAACCAAAATCAAAATACAAGGTGTCCAACATATTTGATGATCCCTTGAATGCTTTTGGAGGCCAGTAGATTTTGCCCAATGTCTGTGTCTCACCCTTCAGTTACATTCTTGAGTTAGAGATGTTGACTTATGTGCCCATTGTCCTACCTGAATTATAAAAGACACATACTGAAACAGCTAGTCCTTTTACCCTATGTACTAAGTATCTTTTTGCACTGATTTTAATCAAGCTTAATACTGCAAAACAAAAATAAATGTTTCACACTGGTTCCTTGGTTTTTATTTCACTAGGGCCACAGTAAGATTAGGGCTTGTTACAGAAGAAATCTACTTATAGCTTTCACAGCTGCCCACAGAATCCAACAAGCAAATGCCACACAGATGATGAGGGTCTGTGTTAGTGGGTAGAAGCCCTGTGGGAGCCCCACCTAGGCCCTGGGCAGGTGAAGGATGAGAGATGATGCTTCATGAGTCTTAGCCTTCAAGAAGTGGTTTCCACTAAATTCCAAAGATGCCTCTGCAAGTCCTCTAAGGAAAGATTTTGCAAACAGTGGCCTTCTTCTGGCTGTGTAAATAGTGTTCTTGGAACACAGCCACGCCCATTCTTTCACATATTGTCTGCCTGCATTCAGCCCACAAACTGCCAGAGTTGAGAAGCTGGGACAGTCACTGGGGTGGCCCACAGCGCCTAAGGTGTTTCTCCTTGCTGCTTACAGAAAGAGCAGGCTCCCCCTCAGAGTAACCCATTTCCATCCCCACAGCTTTGCACTTCCTTGTGGAGGCAGCTGGGTGAGCCCAGGTCACAGCACAGAGGGGAGGTGCTTAAGATGGAGACGGTGTCCTGCTGAACGGTGCACTGGCAGACATCTCCTGGCTGCTGGCCACACAGAGGGCTCACCGATCCCAGCTGTGCTTTCCTGGGTTGTGCCATCACACTGATGAGTATTCAGTCTAACCATGGAACAATGCTGGAGGCCAGCTGCATTGGCCTCACCAATTCTGAAACCACCAACTTTCTTGAGCAGGCACATTAAGATTGGACTGAGAAGCTGAAACCCCAGCACTCAGAGGCTGAGGCAGGAGGATCACAAGTTTGAGCCCAATATGGTAAGACC